ATTGTGTTCCTCTGTTTTCACACCACAATAACCCACTCGTCCTCCCTCTCTCCATCTTTTTGGTCTCGACAGCCAGTGCACAAGACCATCCATCCATCTCCCCTCTCACTCCGGCTTTCTCTGTGAGAGCGACAGAGCGCAGAGCTGTTCATCCTGTTTGTAGAGTTGACCTGCTGCAACCCTCTATTCAATAAAAGAGACAAGAGTGATGGAGAGAGAGACGGAGGACTGGTGATTGGCCATTTGTGCTCTCGTATCTATCGATCAACAGATGTCGTATTGATCTCACAGTATAGCCACATAAATTGCACACTTGATTGCAAATTGGATGCATAGATTGAGGTTAAAATAAATAAGTACAGACTTTTGCAAGCAAAAAAAGGAATTGTGGCATTAAGTAACTGTGCTGGACGTCTCAGCAAAGTGGATCATAACTGAATGGGTTCAGAAACCTTGAGCAAGGTTCTCATAATGCCAGAACTGAACCATCAACACACAAACAAATGCTTCATTCCACACACCCAAGGACGACGCACACACACACCGTTTTATGAGCTTACCTGCACAAACGACGGGGCACATCTTTATAAGCACACCCTTCATGCCACACAAACATGAAGCTATACAAAAACAAACAAACACAAAACACACATTCCACCCACAGGGGATTATACGGGCCACGTGTATCTAATATACGTAAGAGCTTGTTAAACAGAGCAGAGAGAGTATTAGAATTTTAAGAGGCTTTGAGAAGAAAAAAACTCAATTAGAAGCATCTCAGGGTGTACTTGGGAGGAGAAAAACAAAACAAAACAAAAAAACAGCCAGTATCACCTTTTCACATCTAATCCACTGGTTTGCTCATCAGTCCTGCTATATGAAACAGCCTGCAGGTACGTTCTAGAAAACACTTCAGCCAAGCTTATTGAGATGAGTTTCCAACTGGAGGAGCCGGTGACCCGAGTCCCATTAGCAGGAAGAATAATGGGACTCTTAAAAATGGTTAAGCATGAGATTCGTTCATGTTTTTGGTTTAATATACAGTGGGGTCCAAAAGTCCACACTGAAAGTCTGTGACTAAAACAAATCTTATTTAAAGTTTTAGGATGTTGAACTAGTTAAAACAAAGAAATATTATGAAGTACAAAAACGAAGAAAGACTTATGCTTCAGTATTGGATCTAGGTCACTAATCGAAATGTCAATGGCATGTCATTTTTCAGTTGTAAAGAAACTAGTGGTCTTTTGGCCCAACTGTACATGTATATTACAAAATGGGTAGTTACAGTACTGGCATCTGATTGGTCAATTCAACGTCAATTATGTCAAGAACTATAGGCCTGTTCACACCAAGGAAGATAACAATAACTCTAAATTTGTAATAATTGTTCCCCATTACAATAAGAAGTCTACATCACAGGTATAACGATAATGACAATGAGAAACAATATTGTTGGAACCCCTTTCAGAATGTTTTTCCTGCTGATGAATGATAAAAACACAGACAGCCAAACAGAATCGACCCAACTCTAAAGAGCTTTTAAAGCACTAGACAACATAACTGCAGTACATGCTTATAAGAATCCATTGGTGTGGACATTATTGTAGTTATTGTTACAGTTATCTATTGTTAAAGTTATAGTTTTTGGTGTAAACAAGCCTTATATCTTTAAGAATAAGGATGCCACTTACTGAATTCTGATTTGCTAATAGTAGAATAGTATATAGTATAGTACTATAGGTGAATCAGTACAGATTATGTTATGGTAAACACACACACACACACACACACACACACACATATATATATATATATACACACACACACACACACACATATATACTGTGTGTGTGTGTGTGTGTGTCTAAATAAATTACATTTATCCTAATTTGGACTAACAAATATATTCCAGCAAATGACATCTGTGAACCTATGAAATAAATGCTATTTAGCTTTTTTTTTTAATTCAATTTTTGGAGTTAAAAAAGGGTCTGTTTTGAAAGTCTGATCAAAATGAGCCAAGATGAAAAGTTAATCACAAGTGATATTACTTACGGCCCACTAGTCACACATGGAAATGGAAGGTCAAGTCGAGAGCATTGCATTGCAAGATACAGTTTGCCACTCAGTGTGTCCTGCTGTATGCTAAGTGTTTGGCAGCATAGTAAATCATTGGAGTATTTCATAAACAAAGAACATATGAATATAACAAAGTACACATACTGAAAAAGTAGTAAAGAAGTATGACTTTCTGCAAAGAGACTGAGCCCTGCATTGTAGTGCCTGGACGACTCATCAGTAAAATTGCTTTCTTCTGCTGAAAACAAAAGAAGATATTTTGAAGAATGCTGGTAACCAAACCATTGACGGCAGCCATCGTCTTCCATAGTATTTTCTTTCATACCATGGAAGTCGAGGGCTACTGTCAACTGTTTGCAACTTGAGGGAGAGCAAATTATGCCTATATTTTTGGGCAAACTATCCCTTTAAGTTGTACTTAATATTTAGTAACAATTTTAATAGTATTTATTATTATTAATAATATTTTATATATATATTTTTTTAATTAAATGTAATTCAGAAAGCCTTTTTAGCACTAAGAACCATCCACTACGCCAAATCATTTTCTATCGGTAACAGAAATTTGGTTACTTGTCTCCCAATTTTTGTGAGCATTAACAGAAATGATGTGAGATTTGGTGCTTTTTTTTTTCTTTTTTTTTTTTACAAACAAGATTAAGCCACATATGAAAAAAAAATTATGGAACCAAAAACCTTGTATGCTGTCAGTTGGACAGGCTTTTTTTTATTATAAAAAAAGAAGGAAAAAAAGATAATTCTCATTCTCTGTTTCAGCAAGAGCTCCAGATTTGTCTAATCCACGACTGTGAGCAAATATAAAGAGAGAATGGTATCAGCAGAGAGCAGGATAACCGCTAAGATATGCCTGTAACACAAACACGTTGTGCCTGTTACAAAACAAAAAGAAAAACACAAATGCAGACAGGTTCGTTTTTTCTGCTTTTTTTTTTCCATACAGAAAGCCTGGATTCAAATACACAAGTGCTACAAGGAGGAAAAATCCCAAATGAACATCACAAGGAAAAATACAAATAAAAATAAAAAATCAATAAGCATTTCCCCATTTTTACACTCCTCATTGGATTTGTCAAATTTATTCGCACAGTAAAATGAGACCAAACCAAGACCATCTGAACTACTCCATTTGGAAGCCAGGTTATGAAAAAGCTTGTGTTTGTAAATGAGTCAGTGGAAAAGAGACTCAAACCCACTTCTCTTGCAAGAGTACAGTCTCTCTAAAGCACCACCAATATTACAATTCTGGTTGATACCTATAAGCCGACAATTATTTAAATGTCCTGGCTGATAACCTGTCATAACTAACACTATTTTTTGTCTAAATAAATAAAAAATAACCACTGAAAACTAAAATAAATCATTTTAAATGCTGAATCTAGTGAATTTGGACATCATAACATTATAAAAAACACAGTCACACTTTATTTTAAGGTCTAATTCTCGCTATTAACAAGCCGTTAACTACGACTTGTGCCTCAATAAACTGAGGTAAGTGAGGTAGATGACAGCAAAGGTAACGTAAAAAAAGCTTGTGTTTGTAAATGAGTCAGTGGAAAAGAGACTCAAACCCACTTCTCTTGCAAGAGTACAGTCTCTCTAAAGCACCACCAATATAACAATTCTGGTTGATACCTATAAGCCGACAATTATTTAAATGTCCTGGCTGATAACCTGTCATAACTAACACTATTTTTTGTCTAAATAAATTAAAAATAACCACTGAAAACTAAAATAAATCATTTTAAATGCTGAATCTAGTGAATTTGGACATCATAACATTATAAAAAACACAGTCACACTTTATTTTAAGGTCTAATTCTCGCTATTAACAAGCCGTTAACTACGACTTGTGCCTCAATAAACTGAGGTAAGTGAGGTAGATGACAGCAAAGGTAACGTAAATTTAAAAAAGGAAACAAGCACACACTATTAAATATTCAGTATCAAAAGCAATAAATTAGAAACATCTCTGAAATTTCCCAAAAATATTTTCTAGAAGTCTTCACGCATTTTCTTTTTTGGTTTTGCGTCTCTCGGTTTTTGTGAAGATGCACAGCAATTATTATGTGTGATTTGGTGCACAGTACTTTTTTTTTTCTTTTTTAAACAAACAAGATTAAGCACTGTATGAAATGTATTTTATGGAACCAAAATGTATGTATGTTGGACAGGCTTTTGTTTCAATTTAAAAGTTTGCGATTAATTTGTATGTGGAACTGAAAAACAACTAGATCATAAGAGTCATTCGTTCTGGACTACAATGGCTATGCTGCATGTTTGCTACCATGTTCAAAAGGCAAGGGCAACTCAATAGAAAACTTCTCTATTTTCATTGTATTTTTTGACTTTATTAATTTGTAAAATTTCTCTCTTTTTTCTGAGCAGTGGGGATACTCCCACTAGCAGTCACTGTCCTGTGATGGCTGGAAAGAGTCTGGTGCTGTGGGAAAACTGCTGCACTCTGATACTAGACTCCTATGTGCGGCAATAAAACCATTTGAGAAGAGAAAGACGAGCACATAAACCAATAACATAAACAGCAAAAATGAGTGCAAGAAAAGAAGGGCAGAGAGGACGAATCAGTTTGGGAGGGGGTGTTGGTGTGCATGTTTATTTTCTGTGTTGCCCTTGTTATTGATCTCCCTCTGTCTCTGCTGTTGTTGTGGCGGTGGGTGTTTTGTATAGAGATGGGGAAAGAGAGAGCTGAAATGAGATGGCCACAGTCCAGTTTCACGCCAGCCAAGTTACTGCCATCCACGAAATCAACTCAAAATTACACCGTCCAATAAAGCTGCTGCAAAGAGACTGAACAAGTTAGTAAAATAAAATAAAATCTAAAAAACAGAGCATGAAAGATAAGTGTGGAAAGATCTATCTATCTAAAATCTGAACTACTAGCCTGACAGGAGTAGCACTCACTAGTTGATGAAGTCGACAGCCTGTGTCTTCAGCTGGTCAGCGCTGTGCAGATCGGCCAAGATCAGAATCTCTGCTGCGTTTTCCACAGACAGACTGGTGCACAAAGCATCTTCACACATCACCTTCAGCCGCTCTAGAGCATACTAAAGACAGAGAGATTGCACTTCAATAAAAATGTGTGTCTGTGAGCTTGTGTTGACAAAACAAAGCAGATGTTGCATTGCTATTGGCAGATATTGGCTCTGTTTTAAAATGCGATTATCATTTTTGCTAGCTGCTGAAGCTCACGACACATGTACATTCTGGTCATTTTTTGTTGGCATGTCTGCCAAGAAAATAAATGTGATGTGAATGCAATAGTGTGAAGAAACAACAAAGAAATACGTTGTCATTAAATGGCAAAGACATTGACATTTAATAAAAAAATAATAATTTTTGTTCTTAGATTAGAAGAAAAAATGCTGTTTGGCATGTACAGTGGGGAAAAAAGTATTTAGTCAGCCACCAATTGTGCAAGTTCTCCCACTTAAAAAGATGAGAGAGGCCTGTAATTTTCATCATAGGTATAGCCAAGAAAATAAATGTGATGTGAATGCAATAGTGTGAAGAAACAACAAAGAAATACGTTGTCATTAAATGGCAAAGACATTGACACTTAATTAAAAAAAAATTATTTTTGTTCTTAGATTAGAAGAAAAAATGCTGTTTGGCATGTACAGTGGGGAAAAAAAGTATTTAGTCAGCCACCAATTGTGCAAGTTCTCCCACTTAAAAAGATGAGAGAGGCCTGTAATTTTCATCATAGGTATATCTCAACTATGAGAGACAAAATGAGAAAAAAAATCCAGAAAATCACATTGTAGGATTTTTTAAGAATTTATTTGCAAATTATGGTGGAAAATAAGTATTTGGTGGTGGCTGACTAAATACTTTTTTGCCCCACTGTATTCAGCTAAATGTGGTGCTTGTGTGCAGGGGCAGACTGGAGCTAAAAAGTGGCCCTGGACTTTTTGGCATAGAGCGGCCCACCACACCATAAACCCACCAGCTCATTAGAGCTATTTTTAACACCACTTACTAACATACAAATATAACACAATACAGAAATATATATATATATTTTTTTTTATTATCACTAACATTAATGAATGACCATCATACCTCTTTACATTGTAACTTGTCTTTCCTGATGTATATGGCAATTTGTTAATAATATTTTTACACATCTCTTAGAGCAGTGTTTCTCAACCCTGGCCCTGGGCACCCCCCAGCACTGCACATTTTGTGTGTCTCCCTAATCAAACACACCTGATTCAACTCATTAGCTCATTAAAAGAAACTCCAGGACCTGAAATGGGTGTCAGATAAGGGAGACATACAAAATGTGCAGTGTTGCGGGGTGCTCAGGACCAGGGTTGAGAAACACGGTCTTAGACAGACAGTTTAATATCACTAAAGTTAAATGCCTACCATAATATCAGTCCATATAACAATGCTCTGCTCTAGAAGACTTGGAATGTAGTGCAGAATGTGGACTGTTTTTAGTGTACCTTTCAATTTTCTTTTTTTAATGAAGAAAGGTTATGATGAAAATTACAGTAAACTGTAATATGTGAAATATATAGAGTTACAATTTAAAATAGCTGTTTTCTATGCAAATATATGGCATACAATGATGCATACAATGATTTATTTCTGTGATCAAAGCTGAATTTTCAGCATAATTACTCTGGTCTTCAGTGTTACATGATCCTTCAGAAATCATCCTAATATGCTGATTTGCTCGAAAAACATTTCTGATTTTTATCACTGTTAAAAACAGTTGTGCTGCTTCATATTTTTGTGGAAAATGTGATACATCACCATTGTCTAAAGTAAGATTTAAAATAATAATAATAATAATAATAATACTTTTCTTCAACAAGGTTGCATTAAATTGATTTAAGTGACAGTAAAAATATACTTATTACAAATTATTTATATATAAAAATTTTGTTCTTTAACTTTGCATTCAACAAATAATCCTGAAAAAGTTAGTGTCACAGTTTCCACAAAAATATTAAGAAACAAAAACGGTTTTCAGTATTGATAATAATAAAAACCCTTATTAATAACTGAGCACAAATAATAATTGAAAATAATTAAGCAGCAAATCAGCATATTAGAATGATTTTTGAAAGACCATGTGACACTGAAGCCTGGAGTAATGGCGCTGAAAATTCAGCTTTGATCACAGAAAAAAAAATACATTTAAAGCTGCAGTCCATAAGTTTTGCCTCTTTGATCGCCATCTCTGTTTAAAACCTGCAATTGCAGTTGTGCGGGGAATTATCTTCCTTGCGAGGGATGTGTGGCGGCACAGCTCCAGCGCGGATGAATCGAATGTTTTGAGGAGTATGTGTGGCAGTCAGTCACCGCACCTGTGTGGATATTTACTGTACTTCGCAATCACAGATTCTAGCCTACGTCTTGGAATATATGACCCAAATAAGGATTTTCACCGGATATTGTCATCTGAACAAGTAATAAGTCTGCCACATTTGTTCTGACCAACTGAGGAAAAAAGCATTACCATAAACCTCGCTACCAATGGTGATTATACCTAAAGATCGGTTAGCTTATATCACATCAAATCATGCTAATTATTATTATTGTTATACTTTATTCTCAAATTGTTAATGTTAACAACATCAGCATTACGTGACTATGTGAATATAGTGTGTATTAGCTTGTAGATTTCAATTTCTGTACAGTCTAATCTCTAATTGTCATACCATTTGAATTTCATATTAAGAAATTCTTTTAACTTAAAAAGCTAACTATGCTCCCTTCGAACTGGTTGTCTTTAAAATACAAATCTTTTGAAATCCCAGGCTATCTGTAATCAGAAGCACATTTAAAACGGGAATATAATTTCATTTCATTCACATGTGTTTCATAAACACACAGTACTCTCTGGATTACAAACCGCCATCAAAATGATACATTTAATTATTCTGGCTGCTGTGAGAAAAGGCTAACGATCTGCTCCTGCAGGATCCTCACATGCGATAGCCTAGTAGCCGGGACAACTTCTTTATGTTTACAGACGTGACGTAACGACGCAGTGCCATGCTCGAATTTCCCGCAAAAACCTACCCGTACCACTCAAATAAGAAAACATTATTATAAGCTAACCGTTGTGAATTGCGCTAAAGTAAGACGATAGTTTTGAACACTGTCTGGTTATGTACTTGCTCAAATAATGATTTTGGATCAATTTTAACCAAAAAAAGTTACAGACTGCAGTTTTAAACATTAAACCGTTAAAACATTTACATTAAAATATCTTTAATAGAAAAATAAAACTTTCCTAATCACGGCACTTGAAAGCGAAAGTCTTCAGATTTACAATGTTCTAGAGTAAGTTTGAGAATTATATTTTTACTGTTTTTTGAAACATTTTCTTAGACACATGAAATTTCGGAAGAAATATAATGATATACAAACGTATGCTGAAAAGTCTTCAGTGTTACATGATCCTTCAGAAATCATCCTAATATGCTGATTTGCTCGAAAAACATTTCTGATTTTTATCACTGTTAAAAACAGTTGTGCTGCTTCATATTTTTGTGGAAAATGTGATACATCACCATTGTCTAAAGTAAGATTTAAAATAATAATAATAATAATAATAATACTTTTCTTCAACAAGGTTGCATTAAATTGATTTAAGTGACAGTAAAAATATACTTATTACAAATTATTTATATATAAAAATTTTGTTCTTTAACTTTGCATTCAACAAATAATCCTGAAAAAGTTAGTGTCACAGTTTCCACAAAAATATTAAGAAACAAAAACGGTTTTCAGTATTGATAATAATAAAAACCCTTATTAATAACTGAGCACAAATAATAATTGAAAATAATTAAGCAGCAAATCAGCATATTAGAATGATTTTTGAAAGACCATGTGACACTGAAGCCTGGAGTAATGGCGCTGAAAATTCAGCTTTGATCACAGAAAAAAAAATACATTTAAAGCTGCAGTCCATAAGTTTTGCCTCTTTGATCGCCATCTCTGTTTAAAACCTGCAATTGCAGTTGTGCGGGGAATTATCTTCCTTGCGAGGGATGTGTGGCGGCACAGCTCCAGCGCGGATGAATCGAATGTTTTGAGGAGTATGTGTGGCAGTCAGTCACCGCACCTGTGTGGATATTTACTGTACTTCGCAATCACAGATTCTAGCCTACGTCTTGGAATATATGACCCAAATAAGGATTTTCACCGGATATTGTCATCTGAACAAGTAATAAGTCTGCCACATTTGTTCTGACCAACTGAGGAAAAAAGCATTACCATAAACCTCGCTACCAATGGTGATTATACCTAAAGATCGGTTAGCTTATATCACATCAAATCATGCTAATTATTATTATTGTTATACTTTATTCTCAAATTGTTAATGTTAACAACATCAGCATTACGTGACTATGTGAATATAGTGTGTATTAGCTTGTAGATTTCAATTTCTGTACAGTCTAATCTCTAATTGTCATACCATTTGAATTTCATATTAAGAAATTCTTTTAACTTAAAAAGCTAACTATGCTCCCTTCGAACTGGTTGTCTTTAAAATACAAATCTTTTGAAATCCCAGGCTATCTGTAATCAGAAGCACATTTAAAACGGGAATATAATTTCATTTCATTCACATGTGTTTCATAAACACACAGTACTCTCTGGATTACAAACCGCCATCAAAATGATACATTTAATTATTCTGGCTGCTGTGAGAAAAGGCTAACGATCTGCTCCTGCAGGATCCTCACATGCGATAGCCTAGTAGCCGGGACAACTTCTTTATGTTTACAGACGTGACGTAACGACGCAGTGCCATGCTCGAATTTCCCGCAAAAACCTACCCGTACCACTCAAATAAGAAAACATTATTATAAGCTAACCGTTGTGAATTGCGCTAAAGTAAGACGATAGTTTTGAACACTGTCTGGTTATGTACTTGCTCAAATAATGATTTTGGATCAATTTTAACCAAAAAAAGTTACAGACTGCAGTTTTAAACATTAAACCGTTAAAACATTTACATTAAAATATCTTTAATAGAAAAATAAAACTTTCCTAATCACGGCACTTGAAAGCGAAAGTCTTCAGATTTACAATGTTCTAGAGTAAGTTTGAGAATTATATTTTTACTGTTTTTTGAAACATTTTCTTAGACACATGAAATTTCGGAAGAAATATAATGATATACAAACGTATGCTGAAAACAGCTACATTAATGTTTCTATATACACTGTGGCAAACAATGTAAATGGCATTAAAATCTGAGAAATTCGAAAAGGCCAGTAGGCCACATAGTTTGCATGCCTGAAAATTATTGTCTGTCGTTAAACAATTTTTGTAAACTGTTGGCAAATATTGCTGAATTGCCTCATTATGTTTAGCTGTTTACATCTTACCTCAGCTCGCATTCAAATGCCGCGCAGCGCAGCTCAGCTCAGCTTCTGTGAACAGTAAATCCCGCCTTCTTCAATTTGATTGGTTAAAACATTTTGACATTGACGGCATTACCATAAACCTCGCTACCAATGGTGATTATACCTAAAGATCGGTTAGCTTATATCACATCAAATCATGCTAATTATTATTATTGTTATACTTTATTCTCAAATTGTTAATGTTAACAACATCAGCATTACGTGACTATGTGAATATAGTGTGTATTAGCTTGTAGATTTCAATTTCTGTACAGTCTAATCTCTAATTGTCATACCATTTGAATTTCATATTAAGAAATTCTTTTAACTTAAAAAGCTAACTATGCTCCCTTCGAACTGGTTGTCTTTAAAATACAAATCTTTTGAAATCCCAGGCTATCTGTAATCAGAAGCACATTTAAAACGGGAATATAATTTCATTTCATTCACATGTGTTTCATAAACACACAGTACTCTCTGGATTACAAACCGCCATCAAAATGATACATTTAATTATTCTGGCTGCTGTGAGAAAAGGCTAACGATCTGCTCCTGCAGGATCCTCACATGCGATAGCCTAGTAGCCGGGACAACTTCTTTATGTTTACAGACGTGACGTAACGACGCAGTGCCATGCTCGAATTTCCCGCAAAAACCTACCCGTACCACTCAAATAAGAAAACATTATTATAAGCTAACCGTTGTGAATTGCGCTAAAGTAAGACGATAGTTTTGAACACTGTCTGGTTATGTACTTGCTCAAATAATGATTTTGGATCAATTTTAACCAAAAAAAGTTACAGACTGCAGTTTTAAACATTAAACCGTTAAAACATTTACATTAAAATATCTTTAATAGAAAAATAAAACTTTCCTAATCACGGCACTTGAAAGCGAAAGTCTTCAGATTTACAATGTTCTAGAGTAAGTTTGAGAATTATATTTTTACTGTTTTTTGAAACATTTTCTTAGACACATGAAATTTCGGAAGAAATATAATGATATACAAACGTATGCTGAAAACAGCTACATTAATGTTTCTATATACACTGTGGCAAACAATGTAAATGGCATTAAAATCTGAGAAATTCGAAAAGGCCAGTAGGCCACATAGTTTGCATGCCTGAAAATTATTGTCTGTCGTTAAACAATTTTTGTAAACTGTTGGCAAATATTGCTGAATTGCCTCATTATGTTTAGCTGTTTACATCTTACCTCAGCTCGCATTCAAATGCCGCGCAGCGCAGCTCAGCTCAGCTTCTGTGAACAGTAAATCCCGCCTTCTTCAATTTGATTGGTTAAAACATTTTGACATTGACGAGCGCTTTGAGCCAGAACACGCTAAATTAATTAGAATGTTTGTCTCAAATGGGCCGCACGGGCCATTCGTCTGGGCCGATGGAGGGATAGGCTACGTATATTTACTGTAATTCATTCTTTACATTTACTGGGCCGGCCCACCGGGAAAACTCCCGGTGCTTCAGATGGCCAGACCGCCACTGCTTGTGTGCGAGCATTACTCACCTTGTCAGCAGCAGCGAGCAGGTCATCAGCCATCTTGTCCAGGTTGGGTGCTTTGCCAGTGTAGATGAAGAACATCATCTCTTTAAAGACCTCAGCCTCCACGTCGTTTATCTCAACTCGGTTCTAGACAACAAATCACATCAGAACCCTGTCAATCACACAGTCTCAGAAAGTCAGGTCAGAAAACCCCCAAGACTCCTCAACTTCCACAGACTCTCTTTACACATGTGCTAATCAGCAATGCTTTATCTAAAACAGAGGCAAACAATGTTTGGAACTTGATGGATATACCCAAAGTGAAGTATTATTATTATTATTACTGTGTTGCTGTTGTTTACGGTATTATTATTAAAATAATATAATAATGGGTCATTGTTGTAATTCTTCAATAACAATAGTAGTATCCATAATGATGATGATAATTAATATTTTTATTTTGTTGTCGTTATTAAAAATATATAATTTGTTAATGTAATTATTGTATTAATAGTAATAATAGTATCAATAATAATAATAAAAAATAGCATCAATAATAATAATAATAAAATATTAATTAATATATCAACAGATTATAACAACTCATCCGCAGTTGACTATACTCTGAAAGCTGTGCGTGAGACGGAACAGAATGGAACGTGGAAAGTGAAGCTTACGCAGGCCTTAAAACAATCTAGAATTTATTCAACTCTATGTCATTGAGACATAGTCAACTGACTGCGCTTTTGGAGGTTTAAAATGTGATGTAATTGGACCTGATGCAGTTCAGGTTGTTGAAACTGCTGTAAAAGCATAACGTGTAATTGTGTCAGAGTCTGGCCTTTCCTCTTTTGAGCTCCTGCCGTGTCCCTTGAGCACCCAACAACAAACTCACACGACCACTGACCTCCACCGTATGAGAGCATGTGAGCGCACAAAAGGACAGAGTCACTCAAAAAAGCAAATTAATGTATAGCTCAGAAAGCCTCATTCCCTTTCTGTTCCTGCCCTGATTAATGTGGCAGAATGAGTGCTGTGAGAGTTTCTCTCTTCTGTCCAAGGCTGCCGGAGCACTAGTGCTTTGTTGATTGTCGTGCTGGTAACAAAGGCTTTTCCGTCCCGGCCCGTCCATCACAGCTAAACCAATTAATCCAGCAACTGTTAGGAACTCCACCCCACCCGCAGACACAGAAACACAGCAAGGTCAAATGAAAAAGTTCACTCAAAAGCAAACAGAACTATTTACTAAAGGCTATTACAGAAAATAAAAGTCTGTGTAGCCTAAAGTCACAGGCTTTCTGTTTTACCTCCCTCCCCCTGCAGACTGCAGTTTTTGCTATGAATGAACTGTGGCACTTTTGTGTCAATATGAGTACATCACCAAAAACTAGTAACAAATTTACCTAGGTAAAACTGAAGAGGCTCAGTCACTAAGAAAAGGAAAGTTTGTGGTGATGCTTTTGTTTATTCAAATCTATGACCAAAACTACAAAAGTACAGGTTGCCAAACATGAAAATTTGACAACTCTTTAGATTGAGGAACACTATTCACTAGTTCACTATTAAATAGTTGCTTATTAGCATGCATTTTACAAGTATATTGGCTGTTTATTAGTACTTAACACATATTAATGCCTTATTCTGCATGACCATGTTCTAGACCCCTAGCCCTATCCCATACCTAAACCTAACTACTACAACAACTATATAACTACTATCAATAAGCAGCAAATTAGGAGTTTATTGAGGGAAAACTCTTAGTTAATAGTGAATGCGTGTTCAATAATTTAAAGTATTACCGAAAATTCACTCATCATATAATTCCAAACATTACCATTCAAGTAAGTCAGTAAGATTTTAAGAAATGAATAATTTTATTCAGCAAGGACACATTAAATTGATCAACAGCGACATGATGGATCATGTGACACTGAAGATTGGAATAATGACTGCTGAAAATCCAGCTTTGCCATCAAAGGAATAAATTACATTTTGCAATATATTTAAATAGAAAACATTATTCAATTATTAAAATGTAATACTTTTACAATATTACATTTTAACTGTATATTTAATCAAAGAAATGCAGCCTTGGTGAGCATAAGAGACGTCTTTCAAAACCAACCAACCAAAAAAAACAACAAAACAAACTTACTGACCTCTAACTTTCAAACAGTGGTGTATTTGACTTCTGTGGAACACAAAAGAAGAGTGTTTTTTCTTGGTCCATATAATGAAAGTCAAAGGTTTTCAATATTATTTGTTATTTCGGTCCTCAGTGATTTTCACTGTACAGACAAAACAGTCCCTATGGATGCATCGCAAGAGATGAAGAATGCAGGCTTTCCACTGAGTTTTCTCGGTACCTAAAGCAACTCCACACTAAAAAAAAAAATTAAAAAAAAAGTGGGCATCAAAAGCACTCAGGTCCTCACCAGAAGCTCCAGTGTGAAAAGTCACTGAAGTGTTCAAACAAGTTCATGAGCAGATTTTCATATATATATATGTGTGTGTGTGTGTGTGTGTGTGTGTGTGTGTGTGTGTGTGTGTGTGTGTGTGTGTGTGTAACAGGCAACTCATCTGTTTACTCTCTGATGAGGCATTTCCTCTCAATTCTCTTTAGATTTGCTCTATTGGAACATCAAATCCATCAATATTCTACAGACATCACAGCCATCATCTAAGCCTGACACACACACACGCACTGACACGTACATGCGGCCACACTCACTTTTACACGTGCCTATGCACAAACTGAGCCCCAGATCCCATCATTTATCTATTAAGCACACACTCTCTCTCTCTCTCTCAACACTAAACTCAGCCTCACACATTTGCATGGATCTTCACAAAGCTAATAAGCCGCACAAGTAAAAGGAACAACAGGAAATCTCACTGCTCCACAAACGCAAGCACATCCTGTCCCAAAAAACGGTGCATGATGAAACTCTGGGAAAGGGGGGATACGACAGGAGGAGAGAGACAGAGGAATACTGGATCAGCAAATGGTGAAGCATGGGTCTAACATTGATGATGATAAGAGGAAGAACAGGAAGTGTGTTAGGGGAAGTGTAAGCGGCAATCAGTGCAAATAAGTGTCATTTTAGTATTATTTATATAATATTGGAGTTCTTAATATTTTGAATTAGCTTTAATTTTCATATTTTCAATGTGCTTTTGCCATAATTGTTTTAATATTTACTTTTGGATCTAATTTATTTAAAGTTCAGTTCTATTAGTTTTTTGTTTATAATACACAACAAAAAAACTTATGAAAAAAAAAAAATCTGGTAATTATAATAAGAGTGAAACAGCGACAGGACACTTTTTCAGCAGCCTTGGTTCCCCAAGTATTTTTCCCATTCATGTTCTCCAAAGGCAATTTCAAAATGTTCTTCGATAAAGAGTTCATGCCATGAACAAACTCAACAAGCTCTAAGATGAATCACAACATTACAAACTTTGATATGAAGCAAAAAACAAAAACAAAAACCAACTATAAAAACCTGAAAAGGAAAGCTACAATACGGTCTACTCTTTTATATAAGAAAAAGTACTGCTTTCATGAAACTTGGCAAATGACGTAATCGATTCAATTTATTTGTAAAGTGCTTTTTTGTTAAATCACAAGAGGGATGGTGAACAAAGATTCTGAGGAAATGTTTCAGTGATCAACATCAAAAACGAAACATCTAACAGTGGTTCCGCAGACAATTTGTGCCTTGGTGCAATTGGCGATCCTTTTGGCTGATTAACCCAGGGGATGATGGCGGCTCAGACCTTACACTCTCTGTTAAGTCAGAATATGGAGTCAGATCTCTCTAGGGCAACTTGTTTAAAGGAGTGTGTGAAGTCTGGCACATTCTCTCCCTCACACACACACAGAGTCTAATCACAGCTCAAACACCAGCCGATCAGCTCTGTCTCCACGGCGATTAATGAGGACTACCAGGTACAGCCAGATAACGAAGAATCCCGCCTCACCATGAGCGACAGCTAGTTATATGTCTGACAGAGCTCACTGTTGAGTTCACTTCTCACTGTTGAAAACAGTGAAATAGTTTATACATTTACATTTTCAACTTATGATTCATTTTTGACAAGATATTGGCACTGTAGTCATTAAATATTCACTTGGTTATCTCTAAAGCTCACATGTATTTGCTCTTGAAATGTAAAACCAGATTCCTTAAAAGGTGCATTTATACTAAAAAGCTGTCTGCTAAGTGACTGATTGACTGAGCAATGAGACAGCTGTCTTTGGTTTTGAACACAGACACAGAGAAAGAAGACGGAGGGAGATTTATTTACTGACACGACTTCAACAACTTTAAAAATTTATAAATAAACTTTTCAATGGAGTTTTTTTAATGTGAATTTGTTGTGAATTATTTTATTTAAAATTTTCTTTGCCGTCACTAAAATGTACTAATGTATAAAGGTCAACAGCCACACTGGTCTGTAGATATCTGCATCCGTGCTGTTGATAACTAAAGCAAACTAAAGGCTGGGACACACCAAGCCGACTTCAAAGAAGTAGCGGAGACGAAAGCCGACGGTGTTGTCGCCCCTCATCGGCAGCGCCGGGCCAAAAACACGTCGCACAGACTACAGCCGACGGCAAACTAACACGTGAGTTCTGCGCATGCGCGAGAGGAATTAACTGTCTATATCAGCAGCTATCAATAGTATAAATTCATCATTCAAAAGGAGAAACCGAAAAACAAAGATATACGAGATAAAAGCAGATATACGAAACGTAAACAAAGCAGTGCTTGCTTACCATTTTGAATATCAGTAACGTTGATAACTTTAATAATTTTAAGTGGCTCATGTTGTTATAAAAACATTCGCGTATTAGAATGATTGGGAAAGATCACGTAACATTTAAACAGCCTACTGTCCGTACCACCTTCGTTTACGTGCTTGTTTTCATCACTTTCGCTTTAATTCTCGGGCACTGACTCGTTTGCTTAACTGAACATTCAATCAGAGCTCTCACTCTCGGAGACGGTCCCGACAACCCCCGATGCAACATGTTGAATCGGGCAGACTGCCGCCGACGAGAGCCGACGAGTGGAACACACCAAACAAAACTATCCCGACCATCGCTCACCGTTGGCCTGACGTTGGCCAACGGGCGACCGTCGGCTTGATGTGTCCTGGCCATAAAACAATAAGAAATCGTTTCATTAATTAAAATAAGACTGAAATAAATTAAAAACATTCAATGAAAAAAATTACACAGGCAAAATTTTTTAAAGGGGTCATATGATGCGATTTCAATTTTTCCTTTCTCTTTGGAGTGTTACAAGCTCTTGGTGCATAAAGAAGATCTGTAAAGTTGCAAAGACTAAAGTCTCAAATCCAAAGAGATATTCTTTATAAAAGTTAAGAGTCAACCATGCCTACCTAAAACGGCTCGTTCTAACACGCCCCCACACGTCTACGTCACGATGTGGGAAGATTTGCATAACACCGCCCAAATGTTCACGCAAAGAAAGAAGGCGTAACTTTTATTCTCACTGTAGTATTGTTGCTGCCGCCATGTCGTGAAGATGCGTGTGTGTTTGTGTTCGGTGTGTTTCGTTGTGAAAGCGAAACTACTTTGGCATTCCAAAAGAGGACGATATCTGCTTCGTCATGCCTAGAGCTGATCCGTGCTGGTCACTGAGGAAATACATCAACTTCGCGCTGTGGATCGCCGGATCTGCTTTCACCGTGGACGAAGCGGAGTTCAGCCCAGGGTCGTCACATGTGGTTGCCGCAAGCCCGCCCGCCGGCCTCCGCTCACTCTAGCCCGCCGCCGCTCACTCAGGCCCACCGGCCTCCGCTCACTCTAGCCCGTCATGTGAAGCTACTTTGTTTGGCCTTCTAAAAGAGAACACGACTAGAAATCAGTGGTTAAGTTGTATTTACAACACTGTTCCAGAACACGTCAACCCAAATATTCGGATGTGTCCAGCACATTTTATGGAGGACTGTCATCACAGTATGGTAAGGGGAGTAACATTTCCGTCACACGCTTGAGGTATTCGGCCAATCACAACGCACTAGATAGCTGGCCAATCAGTGCACACCTCGCTTTTCAGACCGATGAGCTTTGTAAAAAAGCAATGCGTTTCAGAAAGGTGGGGCATAGAGGAGAAACAATAATGTACAGTATGTGGAAAATAATGTGTTTTTTTAACCTTAAACCGCATAAACACATTTCATTAAATAAAATAATATTCTTTTTAGCAACATCATATGACCCCTTTAAGTACTAAAATTAGAAAAACAGAAATAAAATAAATTAAAGCTAAATAGAAATATTAAAAAGAAATGAAAAAAAAAATCTAAAACTTAAACTAAAATTAACATCAAGAAAATATTTAAATTACTCATGTGTAACAATCTTCTGCAATAATTTTCTTTAAACTGTCATAAGATCGAATCTCAGCATATGTGAATCTCAGAAAAAAAAATGCATGCAAATGTGTGTTTCTCCCACGTTACCTGCCAGTATGGCTTTGTGTGCCTGGAACTCCTGCCCTGCGACACACAGCGAGCAGTCCGTGAATCTGGAATGTTCCCACAGTCCACCCAGTTCATCTGCCAGCCGGCAGTCAGGAACCTTCACCATGTTCATGGTGTTCTGACCAGAGATGTTCACAGAGTCCTGCACCACACTCACCTAAACACACAAAAGCAAAAAGCAAATCCAATTTGTTTAAAGTAAGTGTTGAGTAAATATTGTGTAAAATAATAATAATAATAAAATAAACTAAAAGATAACCAGCGCACATCTGCATTGTTATAATTACATAAATTATGGATTAAATCAACCATTAGACACCCTGCTTATGGTAATGGCCATAAAACACACACACACACACACACACACACATAAGTCAACCAAACTTTAAAGACACCAGATTCACGTGTACTGGGTTAATTTTTATGTTTATTTTAAAGACACATTTAAGGACATCCATATGTGAGCCAATATGGGAGACCCTCATCACAGTGGCTCGGGGGGACACTACAATGACTGCTCAACAAGGGCAGCCATCTAGTTATCTCTTAATTTACACAAATTGCCTCAATTTGTTACTGGTCTCTGTGTGTGAGCGTGTGTAGCAGGCCACCATGCTGACTTAGCCACCTGTTCCCGCAGACATAAGTAGGTTCATTTATCTCACTCCAGGAGTCACACACACATGCTGAAATGCCACAGGTTCTCACACCAAGTTAATTGCCATATAAGGCACATTTCTTTAATGAGCAAAACTCCTCACAGACAAAACTCAAGACTAAAGTTGTTTCAAGAACTTGTGAGCTGTCTACCTGTACAGCATCATAAGACAAGTACCAAAGGTTCATTTCAAATTTGAAAAGTCTGCTAATGTAATGCAATAAAACTGGAAATTTCTCTGCAAAATTATCTCAAAATGCTCAAAGGTGAAGAGTCTGACGTTAAAAAAAAATCAGGGATTATGAGCCGACGAGTGAAATGACACAAAAGAAAAGTGAAACGGAGTGAGAATGAGATGGAGAAGGATAGAGATGGAGGAGAGCGAGTATGACACACAGGAAGAGGGCAAAAGAGCACCACAAACAGGAAATTAAATGTCAAGGACCCTTGTATGTTCTTAATGGAGGAGCAGACTTTCCCCTGACGGAAAACAGAAAAGACAGCAGACGTGAAGGAGAGGGACAAACAAGGAAAGAGGACGAGAGAACGAGCAAGATGAAGACAGGTTGGGGAGTAGAAAACATATAACTATTTCCTGTTCACCATTTCTGCTGTGCATAAAGCTAAAACTAACAAGCTGTTATGGGCATCACAACACATAAATTCTTCACTAAAACACTGCAATACCAGCAAAACAGCTGCACTAACATCACAACAACATAAACCACTATCAAAACAACTGAATAAAGAGAAATAAAAATATCTATTAAGCAGTATTCACAGAGCTTCAAGCTAGAATAAAATTTAAATAAAGAACGAAAGAGACAGACAGATGAGCCAACCTTTTTTTATTTATTTTTTTACTTTTACCAATTTACAGAACTGCTCGATACAGATGGTTGTTCTGCCTGATGAGATTGACAGGTGGCTGTCGTGAATGTAATTTCTGTCATTTCATTATTTAAAAAAATATATATTATAAAAATTGTACTTATTAATTTCAAATTAATACAAAACATGATCAAAAAGGCCTCATGATAATGTTGTGATATCATGATTCATAAATCATATGGCCCAAGTGTTATTATTGAAGATTAAAGAGTTAAAGATTATTGAAGATTTTTATGGAGAAAATGAATGGGAAATATATTTCCTAGGCTGGTGAATAAGTCACTGGAATTCTGTCTGTCCATCTGTCTGTCTACAATCACAAGTCTTCATCTTCAGCCTCAGAAATAGGATCACTACTTTAAAGTCAAGCTCATCACTTTAATGAGCAGCTCTGTGCTGTCTGGACTCAAGTATGACTGAACTGTTTACTGTGTGTAAATCTAAACACAGAAACTAATGAGGGAGGAGGGTGTAAACTAGTGTGTGTATGCTACTCTTCCCCTGAAGTTGATTAATGAACCTGTGACACACACTCAAACTCGCTGAGTGAAACCCATGTGTGGACATTCATCACTCACTAATTAGAGGCACGCAACACAGAAAGAGGAGAGACGAGATCAAAAAAGAGAGGAACAATAATTCCAGGTGACTTCCTGCATCTTTAAATACACAGCGGCATTCCTGACTACTAGCGCCGCATCAGGCTCATGCTAATGAGCTTATCCAGGTCATAATGAATTCATTGATTAATCAAACCAAGCAGTGCGTAATTTACACACACTTTAATTAGAAAATTACCACACTGTATCTTCTCACTTCAACTCTTAATAAAAAAAACACACCTCCACTGCACACCAATGCAAGAGACAATTAAGCACAGCATTTCCCACTACCGGACACCTTAAACGTATTTCCCAAATAAAAAACACAGACAGATATAACACAGATTTGAGTCAGTCTGTACATAGGCAGACAGACAGACAGATATGTCTCAATCTATCAAAGCTATTATGACAGAAAGCGTCTGTTTGTTTTGACAGTGGCCTAGTATCAAATAGTGTAAAAAAAAAAAAAATCACATCAAATAAGCTAATTAGCTCATTAATGCAGCATTGCTGAATTTTCTATGCCATCTCATTTAGAGTTGTAACAAAATCAGCACACGCTGATGCAGGTGTACACAGCAGCTATTATAGTGGAGCAGATGTTAAAAACCACGATTCCTTCCTTTCCCCTTCTCTTGAAAACAAAATACGGCTGGACAGGAGGTAGAAATATGTCAGCCAGTAGAGATTCATACTGTCGTTTATCCAGAGTGCAGTTTTGTTTTTTTTAAATTGATACCAAGCAGAAAACAATATCCTGCACTCTAACCTCGAAACCGTTTCATTGACTGTAATGGAAAATACATGTGCGTTCTGACATGTCACACCAGTCCCTGTTGATTACGGTTGCTGGAATAATTCAACTGATATGCATTCCAAAATATGTTGCTACCTTGTATAATATAGAAATCATAGAAATCAGGTTAAATTTAAAGCAAACATAACTACATCATGACAAATACTGTACCGTTTCTTTAATACAAAATTACTTGTACAGTGATTTCGGTTATGACGTCCATACCTATCAGAAACGGTGCATATCTGATGTCAAAACTATGTGTCCAATTTTATTCATTGGATCCTAAAAAAAAAAATAGATAAACAGAGAGGCAAGCTTTATTTGTAAGCAGCTGTACGTTTGTGTCAGTGAGTTGGTGTTTATACAATCATTCTGTTTCAGACTACACATACTGTATGCTTTTCCATGCATCATTTCCACTCAAGCTGTTCAAGTCTGGCCCTGACCGCAAACCTCCCTTTTTCTCCTTCACCTGATCTTATTCCTCTCTTTCCCTCCTTCTGACACCAGCATCTGCCTCTCATCTCACTGAGCTGTCTGCGATTATGCATGCGTGTGAGCTGACTCGTCTGCAGAGACACTACCGACCTCATACATCCGTGAAAAGGGATTCCTGACTTTGAAAACACCCTTTGTAGAGATGCAAGCACAACACTGAGGTAAAGATGAAAGGTGATTTTGAGGTGTTTTCAGAAGGTCGCAACATCAGTTCGTCACAAATGTCGTGTGAATGTTCACAGGGAAACTTTCAAATGTTAAATATTAACACATTCAAATCCTCTTTCACTTTGATTAGGGTAACATGGTTTAGCACTTCTACCTCTCCCTCCCTCCATCACATCCTCATCGCCGCTGAGCCCTCTTTGTTTTGAGGGTGAAGAGGAACAAAGCAGATGCTGAAGGTACAGAATCTTCCTCTTAAAGTGACTGTTCACTAAAAAAAGAAAATTATCACCATTTCCTTACATTCATGCCACACTCAAACCTCTTTGGAACACACAGTACTATTTAAAAGTCTGAGGCAACTCAAAATCAACAATATCAACACTGATGTTGATTCTTCTATATCATCAACTTTATATATTTTTTTCTTAACCCATATCAATACTTTATCTTTCTCTCTTTTTCTTTTACTTATGGTATTATATTTGCTATTCCACTGTATTTTATATTGTCGTTTATAATTTTGTCACATTATTGTTGTTATTTTTTTTTTCCTTTTAGCTTTATGCCTAATAACATCTGGCAAAGGCACTACCAATGAAAATTAGCCTTCGGGCTAACTTGGGTACATTTACATTCATGAATGTTGATTAAAGCACACTGTCCCTTTCTGAAATAAATAAGTAAATAAATTACATTTTTTTAATTAATATTCAGAAAGTATGCATTAAATATATGTAAATCTACTGTTTTAAATGTGAATGTTACAAAATATTTATATTAAAAAAAGTGTCTTTTAAACAAACAATCCTGAAAAAAGTATCACGGTTTTCACAAAAATATTAAGCAGTACAACTGTTTCCAACACTGATAACAAGAAACGTTTCTTGAAAACCAAATCAGCATATCATAATGGTTTCAGAAAGGATCATGTGACAGAAGACTGGAGTAATGATGCTGAAAATTCACCTTTGCCATCACAAAATTTAATTACATATATATGAATAGATGTATATATACATCTTAATTACATTCAAATAGAACCCAGCTATTTAAAATTGTAATAATATTTCACAATTATTTTGATCAAACAAATGCAGCCCTGGTGAGCGTAAGAGATTTATTTCAAAGTCACTAAAAAAATCTTTGACTCCAAAATTTTGAAAGGTGAAATTTTGAAAAACTGTACTGTAATCGCTCAATTTGATGCAACTCCAACGAATGGAGCTTCAAAAAAGATGCTAGAGCACCATAAAAGTATGAGGATGAGTAAATAATAACAATTTTAATTTTTAAGTAAACTATTCCCTCAACTTGCTACCATTTCTAAATCTGTGTGTGTGTGTGTGTGTGGGAGTGTGTGTATGTGTGTGTGTGTGTGTGTGTGTGTGTGTGTGTGTGTGTACATATATATATCAGCAGCAGATGTTGCAGCCGTAGTGGATCTCAGAGATATCAGTGTGGCATATGGCTGCACTGAGTGAAAGATGGCTGCTGTCAGATGGAGAGAGAGAAGTGTAGAGCTCATTTATTTACTATGAGCAATCTACCTGCTGGAGGATGGAGGTGGAGTGATGGAGCGGTGAGAAAGAAAAAGAAGAAAGAGAAAGCAAGTACAGGTGAAGGAGAGAGAAGACCTGAGAGAGAGAATATAGAGAACAAAATTATAGAAAGAGAAATGGAATGAGAAAAGAAAAACGTGGGTCGGACAAGAGAAAATAGCTACCAAAGTCAACGAATCATTAGCTAAAACTAACGCGTCATTAGTCTGATTTTTCATTAATCTTTAAAATCTTGAGAAAATAAGCCAGAATTAGAATTAGGGTCCTCTTTTTCTTCCTAAATCCCTCCATCTCACTGGCCACAATGACACCAAGTATACCACCTCTAATGGGACCCTTCTCCTCATTAAAAACAAGAGAGAAATAGAGAGAGAGGGAAAGGTATGCTCAGGTCCTTATTTAAGGAGCTAACACCTAAAAAAGAAACCGCATAACAGAGGGCAGAGAAATAGAGAGAAAAAAGAGAACGGAATTGTGGGAGGAAAACTGAGTTAAGAATGGTGCAAGGAGGAAGAAAGGAGGCGGCAATGCTGGGAAATAATAATGAGACAGGAAGAGAGCGGAGAGGAGGAAGAGGAGGAGGAGGAGATGGGAGAAGAAAGAGTTTGTCCATCTTGATTAGGATGTGTAAAACTACACATTTTCAAGACAAGCAGACTAATTAGTCTTAAGGAAACCCTGTATAATTAAGTAGATTTCAGGTTCACCTGACCCCTATAAGATGTGTCTCTTTTGGAGTGTTTACATAAAGCACTTTCTTCTGTTCAAAAACAGCTAGACAGAGCGCAGTGGAATAAAACCGGGACCCTGAAACTTTTTTTATTATTGTTTTTAACACATCATCTAAACATCTAAAAAACAGTGTGAGGCATGACGCAACAACTAAAAGCATCCGTCTGAATGTCTATGACTATAGTGCAATGCTAAAGGGGGTGATTTTAAAAACAGCTTTTAAGCAGCTCTTTCAAAACAATGCAATTCTGGGGTCTCATATCTATCGACTGTTTTAGCTGAAAACACATGTATTAAACAACAAGAACTCCCGTGATCAACCATGTATTAAACTTAAAAAAAAAAAAAAAAAAAAAAAAAAAAAAACTTCCCTCCTTTTACCCCCCTTAAA